TGTGTGTGTGTGTGTGTGTGTGTGTGTGTGTGTGTGTGTGTGTGTGGTGAGTGTGTGTGTGCAGGTATGTGTGTCTATGTTGAAATGCGTACACGCGGGAACAGAAAAACGAAATCGATAAATAGCTCGAAGCGGCAAGTATTCCCTTGCCCCGGCAAAACCTGTTTTTCTTTTTTTTAAATGATAGGAGGAAAGACTAACGCACCTATTTTAAAACCCCTCCCCCAACTTGAAATCAAAAGTGGAGAAAAAAAAAGGAAAAAATCAAATACCAGAGTTAGTTTGAAGGCCTTGGTAGGTGGGGCCAAACAGTTGGCTGCTAGGGCCTGCCTGTTTGGTGTTGGCCGAACCCCGGTAGCTCTGCTAGTATTTATATTTTTTTCTATTATGATCCTGCTAGCCTTTTTTTTTTTTGAATGCATGTAGACAAAGTTGTAAGTTGCATGACACCGTAATCGCTACACAAAAACCTGTGAATGTGAACATATATATATATATATATTGACTACATATATCGATATATTTATTTATTTGTTATACTATACATATATATTATATATACGTATTCTTTTCAATATTTTTTATTATATATAATTATACAAAATATTTATAACACAATATATAATAAAAAAACGTTGAGAAAGAAGGGGAAGGAGAGGAGGAGAAAAAATAGAAAAGAACGGGAGTGGGAGGAGGTTGAAGGGGATGGTGGGTGGAGGAGGAGAACGAGGGAGGAAGAGGAAGAGGAAGAAGAAGTCATGCAAGGATAATCACCTATTTCCATCCGGCGGGTGCCGCATGGCAACCGCGACAACTGACCGCGTGCCATGTGGCTACTGCGGCAACAAGGGAGGTGGAGGTGGAGGACGACCTTTGGAGAGAAGGAGGGGGAGGAGAGGAGGTGGAGATTGAAGAAGGAGGAAGAAGGAAGGAGGGGGGGGGGGGGGGGGGGGGGGGACGCGGTGGGTGCCACATTGGAAGAAGCGGACAAAGCCCCCTCCTCTCTCTCTCTCTCTCTCTCTCTCTCTCTCTCTCTCTCTCTCCCCTCTCTCTCTCAACGCAAGAGAGAGAAGGAGAGAGTGCAAAGGGCTATATTCGAATGAATGTGGCCCCACTTCTACACCAGCCTGGAATTTGTGCATGAATAGGATCATATTTATTTAAAAATGGCCCCCATAGGGAGAGAGAAAGAGAGAGAGAGAGAGAGAGAGAGAGAGAGAGAGAGAGAGAGGAGTCACTTTCGAATGAATCTGGCTCGATTTCTGCACCAGATTTGTGCAGAAGTGGGGGCAGATTCATTTTACCAGAGAGAGAGAGAGAGAGAGAGAGAGAGAGAGAGAGAGAGAGAGAGAGAGAGAGAGGAGTCACTTTCGAATGAATCTGGTTCGATTTCTGCACCAAGTTTGTGCAGAAGTGGGGGCAGATTCATTTGATACTACCACCCCCTCTTCTTGCTCCCTCTCTCCCTCTCCCTTTCTTACTTGCAATAAGGATGACGACCACGCAGCATCCCCCCGCCACTCATGCTCTCCCGCGCCTGCCCTGACCCCCAGCCTTCAACCGGGCCGAAATAGCCGTGACACCAGCCTGGTTGTAACATGTTTGGTGGTGGGGGGGAATGCATTCTCCCGAACACGTTCGCGATCCATTTGCCTAAATGTGCGAATGTGTTTGAGTTTTCGCTGAGGCCCCGTACGTGTTCGACGTGATACGCATGTCTTCAGATTAAAGACAAAGGGACAAAATAACCATCTGGTGTTGATTCCGACCAGTTTATTCCAACAGGTAATTGATGTGCTTCATCGGGGCTCCCATTCTGTTACGCAGACTGAAATGGTTGACAACACCAAAGAGGAAAAAAAATTATGAACGATGCATTTTGTTTTGGCACACCAAAAGAATCGGCATTGAAGAAAATGGTCCGGGGCACCTGTACCTCCACACCTCTTTGTGTTGGTGTGACCCTGTGCTGTGTGTCAATGAAAAACACATTTTACTTTTTTCTTTGGCAGTACCAACCATTTTGGCCCAGTACACCCGGCCCCAAAGGATGCGTTGTCATCGGCCACTGGCTCCTTTCAGAGGCCACCCGTTGCATTTTATCAACAGTGCGCGAGCCTTGGGGAATTTAGGAAAGGTTCAATCAGATTCTTAGCTTGGCTGGGGTCATGCACTGGTGGTTTAACGACCGCGTCGAAACGAACTGGTCAGTGAAGGTAGAGATGGTTGAAGGGGCGCAAGGGTGATTATGCAAATACCCCTGAATCTTGTGAAAAATTATATCCAAGACATGCCTGAACATACCCAGATATCGGTCATCCGTAAGAAGATGATGCACCGAGCCACATATCCATTGTCTCAATGTGTTCAGTCAGGGGCACTGATGCAAACATACAATTTAACGGGGCATGTTATGTTCGTTCCTCTTAAACCACTAGTTCGTTTCCCAACCAATTTGCAAGAATGCAGTCGTGCACGGGCTACATCTGAGCGTGACGTATCACCCTGCCGCTTACATCCAAACAGCAAAACGGGTTGTGCACACGATGAGATTTGAATAGATGTATTTTTGCAATGCGGCGGGCTAGTACGTTTGCCAGACGGGGCGCCTGCACGACCGTGTTCTGAAAATGCCTGAGAAATGTACTGGGGGTTTAAAAAGGAGGATCAGAGAAAAGAAAAACATGGAATCCAAAATTAGCTCGGAACAACAAGCTACCGTCTTCACCGGAATAGAACGCCCGGTCATTATAGCCGTATTTGGGGCAACTTTCAGACCAGATGCAGCTATAATGACCAGGCGTTCTATTCGGGTGAAAACAGTAGTCTCCATGATCCATCGTACCCGTTCTTGCAAAAACAAAAAGGTTATCCAGATCACTTTGGCACCTTATGTGTGAACGTAGCATTGGAGATACGGTCCTGCGTATAGTAACGGATCTATTTTGCCACTTATGTGTGAAGCTTCGCACAACATTTTGTCCTTCCATAAGTTGTGTCTCATGCTTGGTCACCAGCTGGGCCGCCCGGGTTGCCTCAGATTGGCCCAGGTGGCCCCGCCCGGCCAAGTCCGGGGAAAGTCCCAGTCAAGGTCCCAGGCAGTCCCAACGCAAACAAAGTCGGGACAAGTATGCGGCAGTCACAAAAGAGTTAGTGAATGCATTCCAAACGCAAAACAAAGGGTTTGGCACTTCAGTCAGCGCTCACGCCACGTTTGACATGCAACTGAAGTTTGGATTGGCACTTCAGTCACCCTTGGCAGTTTCAATTAGCAGTCCAGTCGCAACCCACATTTCGTATGTCAAAATTGGGCTGCAACTAGACTGCTAACTGAAACCCACAACCCGGACTGAACTGCCAACCGTAACTTCAACTGCATTTCAAAGTTAAGACTGACTGAACTGCAAAAACCATCTTCCAAATGCATTTTCATACCCTAATCCTGACAACACCCTAGTTTTCTCAAAGAAGTACTGAATTTTTTTTTTTTTTTAATTCTAATTTTTTTTTAAAAGAAAACTATACCATGCAGAATTTCAAATCAAACATTTTTTTTGCTGCGGATCACCCCAAAATTCCAAATGTAGTGATCTGAAACAAATAAGAAAATACTAAATTATATCATACCCCTTTAAGCCCCTTTGAGCCCTTTGAACCCCGCTCATACCCCATAGACACCTTTGGCGAGACATCACCGAATTCAGAGATAAGGCCGGATCCAAGCACATCTCGGTGGACACAAAGTTTCTCAACTGCCAAAAAAAAAAAAAAAGAAAAAAAAAGACCCCCCTGTTGGTGTCGTCTTGGTACCCCAGGCGTTGCCCCCTGGTGCAGGTTTGCCCTGGATGCCCAACCGCCCAGTCAGCCCTGGAAACACAGGTGCCAGGACCATAGTCCAAAGTTCCAAACAACCTCCTCCATAAGTTAAAAGCAATATTCATAATTTGTTCATCATTCAATACAGACCAATCGGATAGTCTTCAATTTACATTTATGTATAATACTTAAACTATGAATTAGATTCAATACTCGCAGTTTTATTGAAATCCTTTGGCCTTTTGTTTTCTCCTTCTGTTTGTTGGACTTCTCTTTACTCCTTCCCCAAACTCCTGATGTGCAGAATAGAGAACACGTATTACGTGAAAAGATACACCCCGCCTAGTTTTTGTCGTTTTTACATTTAGTGAGGAGCTGCACGACTCTGAGGCTCTCAATCCACTGGTTTGCTTTGGCGAAATCGGCTAACTTCGTCCAAGGGCGTCGCCACACTGCTCACCAAAAAAACGTGAGCCTATCGTTCGACAACTGCTGGCAAGATATATGTGTTACTCTACATAGAAACAAAAAGTATTTGGCTGTCTGTGGGAAGATCCACTCACATGTTTTTCGCTTCACGAGTCCATGGCGCGACCCTAAAAACCCCACGTCTCCCGCAGTAGAATGGGGATAAAAGACTCTACAGGAGAGAGAAGTGCTTTCGCTCCCCCCCTTGCCTTTTTTTTTTAACAACAATCCCCTTAGCGCTACCAATTTGTTGCCTATGGGGAAGCGTCTTGGTCATAGGTCTGTCATCTATTTTCAGAGGCCTCTATCTATCTATCAGTGGGGGCCGCACCCAACGGGAACTGGGCCCAGCGTCTCATTAACGTACCAAAAAC